GAAAAAATCAAAGTGAAACTGTGACTAGCTTTTGTAATAAAGTAGAATTCACATTCCAAAATCACTCTATTTTTAAATGGTTTTGTCAGCTTATGGCAGTTCAGCCTGTTCTCACAATGCCCGCAATGGCTAAACTTATGGATCTTCTTCTTAGACATTTTTGGTACTTTTGGTTTCTTATGTAAAAAGGTAAAATTGTCTTTGGTGAAGACTTTTCAAAAGTTTTGTACATCAACAGTCCCACATGAAAGCTGAAGTAGATACGTTTTAACAAATGTTGTCATGCATATCATGGGGTATCTCTTTTTTTGAGAATGGACATCCTTCCCCACCTCTATTCTTAGACTTGAAAAACCATCTTCAGGCAAACATGTGAACACTGTTCTGCATTTTAGAGATTAGCCCCAAGACACAAATTTACTGAACTTCAGATTTTAGAATTCCTTTATTTGACTATCAGTTAAAGTGTCTAGGACTTAAAAAGATGACTTCCATGTTCCATTAAAATTAAGACCAGTTTTTGACGCATATGATTTTTTAAATCTTCATGTCAAGAGCAAAGACTGCACATTGTCAAATGAGTAACTTCTGCAGTGTGAGACTTTAGGTATTGCTACCACTGGCTGCAATAGTACATTGTCTTTAGTGTCAGAGGATAAGCTTTCTGTTTCAGGACTGCTTCAAATGTTTAGCATTTTCTGAGTTCATATGTACATAGAACAAGTAATATTTCTTGGTGCACCTTCAGTTGAAGGTCTATCACACTGCGGCGGTCTACCATAAGTCCCGCCTGACAGACCACGGTCTACTGCATAAGGCACGTCTAGCGTAGCACTAGTTCCTCCTCATTCATCACGGAAACATCGCTGGGGGCATTTACACTAAAGGTGGTTGTGTTTACAATTGCGATGTGTTGATTGGTGGATTGCTTCATTTTGCGGTTTTGTTAAGATAAAAAATGTTTGTGGTGGTAAAGATTACGGTTGATGAGTAAGTCGCGACAGCAAGGGACCAGACTGGAGTATTATTATTATTGAGACACCCTTCTCCTTTAAAAAAAAAAACTCTCGTTTTCCCTCCCTGCCCCAGACAAACTACGATCTTCAAAACAGTTTTATAATGGTCAGTGACAGTCCCAAGCCTGTATAAACCAGTAACATCGCCGCACACCTTCAACTAAACCAATAGTCAGACCAGTCCCATGATAGACCCATGATCAGCTAAACCAAAAATTCGTAGTAGACCCGCAGCTAAACCAGCACTTATTACTTTTATGAATGTTATTTCTTTAAAGAGGAGTATTTTTATATGCTGCCCTCTTATCTTCCAGGGTACCCTGACTCTGTCAACTGGAGACAAATTGGAGGGCAGTTTCAGCGGTTCCCTGAATGAGGGTCTCAAGGTCAGCGGGTCATTTGTCAAGGCTGCGAGCAGCTCAGATAGTGACAGAAGAGCTCAACACTCACCAAGCATCAAGTCTAAGTAAGAGTCGATACATGCAGCTTTTCTGGAAATTTTCGTATTACAGAAGTCCAAAAATACACCAAACTTTCCATCTTGTATATGACAGTTTATATAATTCTTCAATGCCTGGACCCAAATTGGGTCCTTGAAACCCTTCGGGCCTCTCCATTAGAGACAAAGTCATTTTTACTCGATTACGCTTCGAACACACGTCCCTGTCACATAAATACCTCCTTCAGAGAGATGAGAAGCCGTTCTGTGTCGGATGCTACACAGGTCTTACCTTTAGGCACATTTTAACAGAAAGTCTAGACTTCGAAGAGACCCGAAGGAAATATTTTGAATGCAACAAATTTCAAGATCTGTTTTCCTTCGTTGATCCTAACAGAATCCTTGATTTTATAAAGACCACTGGCCTTTATGGAAAATAATAAGTACAGTTATTTTGATTTTAAACAGGTTGTCATTTTTTAGATTGTTATTTTACCTAAAGTTTTTAACATTTTAAGATCTGATCGGTGACCCGAGCCAAGTCATGCAGTGAATTGTTGTGAATGCAACCAACTTGTGTTTCGTGCGCTCGCATGACTTTATGCAGTTGCGAGCGCTGTAAAACTCTTACTAAGCTAAACAACTAAGTCCTGTGCTTTTGAAATTACTTACTTTATGTCAGATGGGCACTGACTAGGCTCTGCTTTAGAGAGCAGTATGCATTGCTTTTCTAGTCATGCCAATGAGATGACAGTGCTTCTTGGATACGAATGAATAGGATTTGTATTTTTTACTGAAGTAGCAAAAGGGATGAATACAAGCATATTTAGTGTTGTGCAGTGGAGTCTTGAAACAGTACAGAAAAAACTTTTGACTTGTGATCTTTGATCGTAGGGTTGTGATTCAATGTTGCTGGAAACATGCATTATTGGATTTTCTTTGTAAAGTTTTGCTAACAATTTCTTAACCAGGGTAATTTATCTTGTGATGAAAGATGAGTGTGTCATAAAGGTGAGGAGTTTTTGCATGTAGTGATTATTGATATTGTTTGGGGTTGGGTTTTTTTTTTCAGGAACAAGAAATCACTATGCTGCTGTGCTGAAATAATGTACAACATGAATGTTTTGTGTGTGACTGTCCTCGTATTCATGAGTATTTTTTATTGGTGATATAAATTACCTATGTGTATATTTTTTAAACAACAGATTTATGGGTTTGTTTGAGCAAAAGTTCTAGTTTATAACTTTGTATCCTTTTCTGTAAAAGATTCATGTTGTAGAACTGATACAAATGTGTTAACACTTCTTTTGATTTGATTACTTGATTTTAGAGGTGTGAATTACTCTTAAAATGTTAAAACCTGTTTCTTGCCAAATGTCGCTGGGTATTTTTTTAATAACCAGAGAAATAGTACATTTTAACTGTGTTGGGCATCTGCTTCAGGTATTTTGGTCGCCTGTGCGTGACGCCTGATGCAAAGTGGACCGACATTTTCTCTCACGTGACATTATCCCTGGGACATAGCTTATTCAACAAGCAGCAAGCTCCTGCGGATGCAGAGAAGGCCTGGGAGACGGTGGCTGTCATGGTCTCAGCTGGTAGGAAAGCCCTCAAGGAGGATAAGAGTATGTGAGTATACACAGGCTGCAGGGGAAACACCACCTGCTTTGGGTGTTGGGGGGGGGGGGGGGGAGGCCGGGGGGGGGGGGGGATCAGGTTGTATGGCAGTAAAGCTCTACCTTACACAGACAAGGGTGTTTGAAGGTGAATCTCTTGCCCCAGTTAAACGAGAAAAGAAGAAGGCAGAATAACTCGTTATTATGCCTCACTTCTCTGTTTTTACCGTTTTTCTTTGCTTTACTGGTTTAGCAGGGCATGCTTCTGGTCCATGTGACCATTGTTTTGGTTCTACTCTGCTCTATCTCAATGATCTAAAAGAAGCTGTGAAAAGAAGTGTTCTTACTAACTCCTTCATGTATTGTTATTTCAACTTTGTGAGCCACCAATTGAGATAATCGATATTTGTGTCACAACACCATGGAATGAGGCTCTCGTCAATTTTTGGGTAGGTGAAGTTATTGACATCATCTTAAAGTTTGTTCATATGTTTTGCTGTTGATGAAAAAAATTCCCATCTATTTCAAATAAAATTCAAGATATTTTTTATTGAAGGAGGTGGTGGCCACCTGGTGGCAAAGGTGAAATTAGCGAGGAAATGGCCGCCAAAGTTTGGTTATTTCCAAAGCTGTAGTGTCCATGGAAACAGAAATTATTTTTTTTGTGCTGTTAACTCTTTGAAGACGCAAGGTTTGAGAGTTCTGTTTTCCCTGGAAATGCAGGATTTTGCGACTTAAAAAAAAAAATCACCCAACAATAACCGTCCCATATTTTGCTGTACAATTTCATATAAAGCAAGATTATGTTGATGAATAAAAAATGTCTACATATTTACAGAAACTGAAAAAACAGTGTGTACTGATGCATGGAAAATAGTGCATAAATGAAAAAAAAAACTTTTTTTCTGTACACCTAGTCACCTTTCAATATAACATCAAAAAGTCAAAATCCCCTCATCATTTTCAAAATCACCTAGATCCATCTCCTCTTCCTTCACAGCCTAGGCCTATCCTCCACCTCTTCTTCTGTTCCAGAGGCTCTGCTGACATTAACTGCTGCCACGCCCCTCTCCTCACCTTCCCCCTCGCTTTCGCTATCAATATCTTCTGCAACTGGAAAGTGTTCTTTATCACTACTACCTTCATGCAAAGTCTCTTCCTCCCTCTCTTCACCTTTTTGATTTGGAGCTTCTTCATCGTCCGAACCTTCTTGTTCACCGTTTCAATAGCCTCTTGAAAGCTGAACTAATCTCGTCTTCTCAAAGCCAATTTCTTTGTTTACACAGGAAGTAGGTTAAATAAGGCATTATGCTAATGAGGGTCAAATGACGCCCCAAACCCGTGCACTGGTCAAAGGGATTGTACTGATGAATTACAAACTGGTTCAACTTTATTATAACAGTGCTTTCCCTTCAATTGCTGTTATGTAAAAGGAGGTAAAGGTTTGTTTCATCCACCGGGCCTATTGGCACGTCCTCAACATAGTTTATAACTGCTGTGAGGCCCGACACGTCTTCAATGTGTTAATTGTTTTATAATAAAATATCCACACAGAAATGTGTTTTAAATGAACATAAAAAGTGATGAGCCAAAAAACAATAATTCGGAGAAAATTGTCAAACCTGAGAAAAAATATTGCTCTCTTCAATTTCATTAGTTTGACGAGTCTTGACATCACCATGATGCCTCACATATTTGTAAACAAGAGGTCAGTGAAGGCTAGTGCTGAAGAATGCCAAACAATGTCAGTTTTAACAGTTGTTGTGTGGATAACAATGAACATATAATTTTGTGTGTTTATGTGTGTGTGTAGTGTGTGTGTATGTGTGTGTGTTTGTGCATGTGTTGGCATGTGTGTTAGTTTGATTATTTTTATATCATTCTATGTATTTATATTTTGTGTTTCAGAGAATGGTAAAAGCACACAATAAGTTTTTTTTCGATGAAGGATTAAAAAAGTATGCCATGTCAAATCTCATTTGTATTTTTATTATAAGTGCCATCAGGACACTTATTTCTTCTTGAGAAAAAGAATGGCAACTTTCTTCTTTTTTTTTTAAATCATGCATGTTAGTTGGTGCATTCGGGTTACTGTTATTAAACTTTGTTATCAGCAAAGAATGGTCATGCTCGTGCCAGCTGGCTCATAACTATAATTCTGCACTTCAACACTCTCTTCTCTGTAGATCACCCAGCAAAGCGAAGATCCAGCAGAAGCTTCTGGAAACCCTGGAAAAAATCCCAACTCACCACCAGGGCAGCCTCAACACGGAGACCCTGGAACAAATGACCTCCTACCTGGCTCAGGTATCTCTCTCTGCCCCAGCTCTTGTCTCTCTGTGAGGGGACGAAAATGAAAATGCCAATGCCTTATATTCACGAACGGGAAAAACATATCATTATTCAGCACCATGCCAAGACTAAGTGTAGGACATCAACAACTTACAAATTTACAAACTAGTTATCCGTTTAGTAACATTGTCAATAGATTGAAAATAAAGCATTGCATGTTAATTTGAATCTTTAGTTTGCATTCCTCAGAGTTTGTGCGCTTTTTCAGTAAAATAAGATCTATTTGTCAAAGTTACCGTTTCTATCTAGCAGCAGCGACCAAAGCGGCCTTTTGAAATGTCAAGACACTGAGAATTCAGTGATAATCATACTGAAATTGTAAAAACAAAGTGAAAAAATGGTAGTGACTTATGTTATGATGTTATATCTAGAGAGTACATGCCTAGAAAAAAGAAGGAAATACAACACAACAACTGGAAATTCATGAAATACTTCTGCAGGAACATTTTGCTTGGATTTGGTTTGTAGTGCTGGTCTGGTAGTAGTGTTATAATTGTGTTGGGGACTTTAAAAAAAATTTTCAGAGGAACCTCCGGGGCGGTGCTACTAACTGAAGTGTCTCTAGGCCATTCCCAAAGGGGGGACATTAAACATGTTCTTATGCACAGTAGAATTGTAATTGTAAATGGGCTGATTCATCAATGTCATGCTCATAACTGTGCCTGATCTACAACAGGGAACTGCTGCTTTTTCTTTCCTAATCCTGACCATCATCGTTTTCCTTTACTTCTTTATATATGTTTGTCACACTCTTGTGACCCACTATTTCCGGGGTGCCTTGATAACTGAAGCAGACTTTGTGCTGTTGAAGCTAGAGAGGTGAGCAGAGTAAGCCTGATTCCCTGTAAGGAATCTGTTGACATCCACCCCTTGGCGCTCATATGACCTTACGCAGTTGCGAGCGCCGTAAAACTTCTACTAAAACAAACAACCAAAAAAAAAGGGGGGGGGGGGTATTTTCTGCAAAATCCTCATTTGATACTGGTTCTTTTTCATTTCGTAGGCAACGGGAAAAAGAGGTGCAAATTAGATCTCATCTGTGAAATAGTTCGAACATTTTAAGATAGGACATGTGCTTCATCTTACCTCTCTCCACCCACTTACAAATGGCAGTTCTTAACCTTTGAAGTTTTAAAAGTGCATTAGAGCTGTTGCATTCCCATGTATAGGAACATTTTCAAAAGCTCAGGGTCATTACTGGTCATTACTTCTGCTTGGTCCAGGCCTGCGACAGCAACTACCATCCTCTGGGTCAGCTGATGAATACGCTGGTCAACGTGTTCAGAGCCTCATACATTGGGGTCGGTGCTCACCCACACCTGTTGCATCATGCCGTGCATGAAGTGAGGTCCTACGTACGCCGATTCTACAGGGTGCTCCGGTATGTGTTACGTTTGGTTCATAAACTTTTGAAGTGGGTCTTTTTGGCTTTTAGCAGTTCCTTTCCTATCTCTGTGTACTTCTTTTATACTGTGATTTCAACACCTCTGAATGCTTGTGGAGTTTACCAAAGGCGATGGATGATTGGTATGTGCTCTGGCTGGACTGAAACTGTCTTAATCTTAATATTTAAATATATTCTACTGTCCTCCTTATGTCTTGTTGTTTTTCTTTTTCGAAACTGAAAGGCATTTAAATTTGTTCCATGTTTCTCGTACCTGAAATGACCATTACTACATCCAAAGAATAAAATACATCAACCTCTTACACCTGTTCTCATGTTCTCTATTCAGGATCCTGTTCCCTGATCTCCCACCCAATGGCGGTCCCATGCAGGTGTACCCACCAAGTCAAGGTCCCCTAGCCACGGACAGACAGAAGAGCTCTGAGTTTGTTGAGGGCCTGGAGATAGAGGACCCCAATGTGTGAGTCATGTCCACTACCCAGCATAGTTCACCTCTTTATTCTTTCTTTCCTGAAAATTTATTTCTCATTCTCATTATCTCAAAATCAGGTTATTGGTACAAAGCAGCAACTCAAACATTTTTTTTCTGAAAGGCTTGAGTGATCACTGTAATCCTCTTTTGCACATCAGAGCTGTAAATGGTCACACACTGCCGCTCCAGAAGCGCTCCCT